GAAAATGGGCTGCAAAAGACATCCTTTGTTCTCTTTCAAGTGTTAAAAAACAAAAATGTCACTTGGAAGACTCAAGTATACTAACTAAGGCCTAAGCCTTGGTATTCTTAGTCACTTCATATAGTTGAAAAGGACAACTGAAGAATTGAGACCTTTGAACTTAGGGTGTTACTAAAGAATTTAAAAATGAGCCATGGACTGCCAGAGAGCAAATAAATCTGTGTTGGAAGACGTACAGCCACAATGCTCTCTAGAAGCAAGGATGTCTCTGAAGAAGCCAGTCCCTGGAGAAGGACAACATGCTTGGTAAAGTAGAGGACCAAAGAAAAAGAGGAAAGTACCCAACCAGGAGAACAGACACAGTGACTGAACAATTTGGCTTATTAAAGCAAAATCATTTGGAGTGAAATTTAATGAATAAGACTTTGGGGCAGAGGTGTACGACATAAGCTAACTGTTGATCAGGGGGAAAGTAGTTCCAGCTACTTGGCGCTCTCTAGAGGAGGGACCTCATCTGATTTGGTCATTGCTAGACACCTGGGATCCAGAATGCTACCGGGCACGTTGGTCATTCTCAATAAATTCTTATTGAATTAATGTATAAAAATAGGATTGCATACTAAATACTTAATCTGTATATCACACTATTGTGTGTACTTATGTTGTTTTTAAAAAATTCATAAGCAATCCTAAGATGTAGGCATTACTGCTTTAATTTTTCCTACTAAGCAACAAAGACTTAATTTGCCTAAAGTTACAAATAGCTGATGGAAAACCCACATTTGAGTTATTGGAAAGTTCATCATCTTAATGACGGTGTCTTTTTTTTGCCAGTAGTTTTATTGGCACATAGTTTACATATGATACAATTCAGTAGTTCAATCATTCAATCATATCAAGGAGACTTATACAATCATTACGACTTCAATTGGAGCTTTCTACCACCAACCCCCCCTCCTCACATTTAAGATGAATTATGCAATCACAATCCATTCTGATGCTCCCTCCCTCCCACCTTCATTATTTACTCCCGAAATCTCTTTCCCTCCTTATCACCCACCGGTACCTGTCTTCCCCATATCCCTTTGTTACAGTTATTATCATTATGCTTCCGCTCCTCCTGTACTGAACAGCTGGGAGACCCAACCTAAAACAATAAGAAAATCTGGCTAAGGTGGTATGGTTAAAGTCATAATGGTACAAAGACAAAAACACGAATAATGCATAAGAAGGAAAAGACCTTCATCAACAGTCAAAAAGCCAGGGAAGAAATTTCTGCCATGGAACCAGTGAGAGACACTTGCACCCAGAACAGATTCAGGTCATGTCTATCGGCTGGTCTCCTGGCCAAGTGTCGCGTGTGATCCAGCGTAGTCAAGATTACAGTGGTCTCTGCCTTACTGTACAGCTGAGTGTGACTCTTGCCCGTGGTTACAGTGGATCTGCCAGAAGCGCTTTGTGACTAGGTACTCTGCAGGTGGGTTGTGGGTTCCCACAGTCTCCCATCGCCCTCCATAAATGGTGATCACAATTTTAGCTCTGGTGCTTTTTTCCTCATCGTATTCGTATTTTGTAATTGTCATCTTTGGATCACACAAGCCCGTGTGCTGCTTCTATCTGGACTTATTTGACTCTTCGCTTAGATGGCTGCTTGAGTACATGCCTTTAAGGCCCCAGACACTATTCCGATTGATAGCTGGCACCATCTGCTTCCTTCACTACTCTGCTCTTGCTCCCTTATTTTCAGTAATCGTTTCATGAAGGTGAGTATCAAACAGGGACATGGTATAAAAACTTACTATTCTTCAGTTGGAGCTAAGATTTAGTGTGAGCCTAAAACCCACTCCTGGACCTATGCTTTTTTTCTTTTTAATTTGCTACTACTTTTTTTTAAATTTGCTACTTCTTGACATCCTCCCCCTCTTATCTCCCCCACCCCTCTCTATCCCTCATCCCCCAAAACCCTTGTTACATATTTTTATTCCCTGTAGGCTCAACATCTCCCTGGGTTTCATTTACCAAAAACAAAGAAACAAATAACACAGCTGCAAGAAGGTGAGCCCCAGTGATGACACACCTCTGAGATACACCCCAAGATAAACAAGCATAAACAGAATGTAACAGAATGGCTGTCATGGGATTGCCAGAATAGTACACATTCTAATATAGCATCCAGAGCATGGATGTAGCAAGACCTTGTTTGTCCGCTAACCAACAGTACATTGCCCTTGGCACAGCTGTCTTCTGCTTCCTTGGACACCATGTGTTTTCCGGTTCAAGTCCTCAGGTTACAAGTGCGTCTGGCATAGAGTGCATTTCCGCGTGGCGCCTCCCCGATGTAGCCTCTGGAGCATGACGTGCACCCTGACGTTCCAGGATTCAGTGCCCAAACGTTCCACAGCACCCGGTCTGGATTCCTGGGATACCCCCAAAGGCCCTGGATTAATTCTGCCGTCCTGCTGCATGCCCCTGAAGAACCTCCCCACCTAATGATCCTAAGAGCATCTTCAGTCTCTCCTCCTCCTCCATCTGGTGGTCAGCCCTCCCTCCCCTCACGTCAACAGACATGCACCTATGTTTGCCCAAGCGTGACCATTCCCTTTCCCTGCTGCTGTGCTGCCCCTCCCCTCTGCCAGGGCCCTTCCCTCCCTCTCTGGGGGGCCTCACCCCAGATCCAAACGGTTACCACTTAGCAGACAGCATGCCTCCCTGCTCCCCCAACCATTTGATCCTAGCTGTCATGACATGCCATCCGGGCAAGTGACCTACACTTTACTTACCTGGAGCTGATGATGTGTGATTCATTGGCACAGGTCCACCTCGTTACCAGGTTGTCTGGTCCCCAGCCAGACACTGGATGGCCTGCAAGCCTGAGCTTGTGCTTAGGCTCCTTCTGCTCTCTGCTGCTTGTCCTGCGTCAGTGGACCGTACAGTATTTGTCCTTTAGTGCCTGACCAACCTCATTCAGCATCATGTCTTCCAGATCCTTCCACGAGTTGAGGTGGTTTATTGTTTCATTACTGCTCTTTATGGATTGTAGTATTCCATTGTGTGTATGTACCAGAGTTTTTTATCCACTCTCTGTAGATGGGAATTTGGGTTGTTCCCAGCTTCTTGCTATTTTGAACTGAACTGTCATGAACATGGGGGAGCAAACGTTAATGACTGTATATCTTTATGCCCCCACGAAACTGCTTCAGAAGAGAGTAGTGCCACTTTACATCTATATATTCTTTCATATTCATTCAGAAATCATTCTTACTGTTTTTTAATTGCTCCAAGGGTAGCTAGCGGTAAAAGGGAAAGGTCACAGATCATATACCTGGTTAAACTAGAATGACTCTTTTCTCCCACTCCAAATGATGTTTTTGCTGAATTTACACAGTGATTTAGGTTCTCACTTAATGATTTCTGTGCATCCTATTCAGTGATAATGATTACATTTTTCACAACAAAATTCCCTTTGGTTCTTCTGTTTATATTAGTGCAGGTTCCTTGTTCCCTCAGAGTTCCCTGGCTTCTTTGGTATAGGACAGTGTTCCCCAGATTATCTGCTTCGGGGCACTGGAATGATCCAGGGAAGTTTCAAGAGTAGATACCTACACTTTATCCTGGATTATCAGCTGGACTACAAAAGTTTTTCATTACCAGGGGGGTACTGAGTGATTTTTATTTTCTTCTAAAAAGGGACAGTAGACCTCATAAGTTTGGGAACCCATGGTCTAGGGCAGGCGTCCTCAAACTACGGCCCACGGGCCACATGCGGCCCGCAAAGGACATTTATCCGGCCCACCGGATGTTTTTGCCCCATTTGTTTTTTTACCTTAAGATAAGATATGTGCAGTGTGCATAGGAATTTGTTCATAGTTTGTTTTTGTTTTTTTAACTATAGTCCAGCCCTCCAACGGGTCTGAGGGACAGTGAACTGGCCCCCTGTTTAAAAAGTTTGAGGACCCCTGGTCTAGGGTAACTGTTGAGTGTTAAGTCTCATATGATTATTCAGAGGAACAGCACTGCAATAATATGTGATGTTAATTACTTTATTAGCCACTATAGTTCGGCTGATAGAGTGACTTTACGGGATTAAAGTGATAGAAAAGTACCAAATTGAGAGTAACTTGAAAAGCCACAAGAAGGGTTATGTTAATTGCTCATTAGCTACTCTTCAAAGGTGAAATGATCCCTCATAAGCTGGCCCCTGTATACTTCTGCATCAATATGTCTCACCTTTGTACTTTATTTCCTTAATTTCCCAGTGCTCCATCCATACAGAACTATAAAACTTTTAGTTCATTGGACACAACAGTTCATGACTTTTCCATTCCTAGAGCTTTACACTTATTACTGTGTGTACCTAAAATATTTTTTTCACTCCGATTCCTTAAATGCTTCCTATTCAGTCTTCAGGACTTAGCTCAAGTGTTACATCCTCCCAAACGTGTTTTAAAAGTGGGTGAATGGCCATCTAAGGTGTAAATATTAGGCCCTCCTCATCCAGAGGAAGGAAGAATGCTAAAAATTGAAAGACTATGGAAACAGTCCAATGGGCCAATCAAACATCAGTTCCACACCCCTAAAACAGGAAGAGCTAGGTGGTGCATGACTACCACCACCTGCTGTCACATTACAGGGCCCCAGGTAGAGTAAGGGTGAAGAGTGGCACAGAACTCAACATCGTAAAAAAGACCAGACCTACTGTTCATGTAGAAATTGCTGAAACTACTAACACAGTGGCCCATAGTTTGGCTCTGCCTTCATTGCCTACAACCTTGTCTAAAAAAAATTCATCACTCTATTTTATTCTCTGTTTTTAGCTTATATATGACTCTAGACAAGTGAACTACTGCTATTTAAAGAAGCCCCCATTATATATATGCAATCTCCCTTTTTCTCCCCAGTGTCATGAAGTTTAATAACTCATATTTTTATTTTTCTATCAATATTTTGATATACTGATATGCTCTATTATTGTTTTGATTAATTATTCTCCTCATTTTAAGGTTATACTGGTACAAGTTAATCCAGGGGAAGCATTTACAATAAGAAGAGAAGATGGACAATTTCAGTGCATTACAGGTAAGAATGGTAATTTAGTAACATTTCTGTCTTGCTACCATAACACTAAAGCATAAACAAGGACACTTTTTGAAGCTCCCTCATATTTGACTACATTTCACTTATTCATCTATTGGATATTGGACTGAACTATTACAATAGGCAATAGCATCTTAATTAGTATTTTTGGCCTGGTTTCCTGAATAAATCAGTGTTATAGTATTTTTATTGTTCATAATTCTATATGTTATGGCACATGGTATAGGGCATATATACTGTACTATAATATTATTCATGTTACTTCATTAAATCCAGTTCATATTCCTTAGTGTTTCAAAAAGATCATTTTATTTTTCTAATCTTGATTCCACTTCTACAACAGTGCTCCCCTCAGTAAACTGAATTGGCTTCCTGACTCTTGAATCTGTCTTGTGTTTGATTTACCAGATAACTATTGTTATTATGTAAGGAGTCTTGGTGGCATAGTAGGTGGCGTGTTGGACTGCTAGTCTCATGATCAGCAGTTCCAGTCCACTAGTTGCTTTAAGGGAGAGAGAGAAGGCAGTGAAAGCGTCACAGCCTCAGAGCAGGGAGCACTTCTGCGCTGCTCTCTGTGGCCACTCTGATTCCGAATCAGCTCGATGGGAGTGGGTTTATCTTCCCTATCTAGAATTCTCCTCTAGAACTATTACCCCCGCCTCTGCAGATTCTACCAGTGCCTAAGGCTTAGTTCATATTAGAAGGGTTCCTTTAAAGAGTGTGTGTGTGTGTGTGTGTGTGTGTGTGTGTGTGTGTGTGTGTGTGTGTGTGTGAAGTTGTTAGTGACTGGCCCTTCAGCATTATTTACCTTTGGGGACAGATAGGTCTTTGTTGTGAGGCTGCCCTGTGAAATGCAGTATGTTTAGCAAAATTCCATCTCTATGCTAACTTGGATGTTGGATTTTAATATTTTGTTAAATTTTTGGTGAACGATTACATAGGAAATTAGGACAATTGCTGCACAAATTATTCAGTGATCTTGGTTACATTTTCACAGAGTGTCCACATTCTCGTTAGTTTTGTTTTGCGTCCTCCCTTTCCATGACTCTAATTTCATGCTCCTTACCCTCTCAGTTTTGCTTTATAATCATTCTTTACATTTTAGTCTCATACAGTTTTAATGGAACACTGTATTCCTGGGGAGATACCTTGTCTGTTATTTCACGAAGAGGGGACCTCAAATAGTTTGCTCAAAGCGTAAAGATTATCTCGGTAATATTATCAGGGAGTCCTCTAGTCTCAACTGCTCCAGTTAGTCTAGACTGTTTGACAGTGTGTGTTCTGTTTGGCCCCTCCTATAGTTTTGACAAACGAAATTATCTCCATGTATTGCCTACTCTCCTGAGGATAGAATGGGCTGGGGTGGTGATTTGATTTTGGAATCAGAAAGTACTTGCCATTTACTAGCTGTGTGATGAGGCATGTTACTTAACCTCTATAAGTATATTTCTCTTTGGTGAAAGTCCCATTTTGATCAATAATAATGTACTTCATAGGATAATTGTGAAAGTCGATTAATATGCATGTAATATGCATAAAACCAGACCTGATATATACTACACTCAATTAATGGTTATTGTAAATAGAGTGTAATTCCAGTCTCCTTTGAAACCCCATAACACCAATTACTGAGCCATTCATTTAGCTTATAAATACGTATCTTCTTATAATATCTTTCTAATTTTTTATGGAATTTCAGAAATTATAAAATTGACACGACATAAGTTATCATTTTAACTCTTTAAGTGTACAATGACATTTAAATGTTTACAGTGTTCTGTAAAAATCATCACTGTCTATTTCCAGAACACTTTCCTCATCCTAAACTGAAACTGTACCCATCAAACAGTAACTACCCATTCCCTTTCCCCTCAGTACCTGGTAATGTCTACTTTATTTATGTCCATGTGAGTTTACCTACTCCACATACAATATGTCATTTTGTATCTGTTTTGTTTTACTTTCAGTGTTTTCCAGGTTCGTTCGTGTTGTATCATATATCGAATTTTATTTCTTTCTTGCAGCTACATAACATTCCATTGTATGTAGAAGGAGGCGTCAAAAGGTTTATGGAAAGATGGAATTAAAAAATAAGGGAATTTTTCCAGACATTTTTTGAAGCCCCCTCATATTTCACTACATTTTGTTTATCCATCTGTTGGATAGTTGGGTTGTTTTCCCACATTTCAGCTATTGTGAATAATGCTGCTATGAATATTCATGTTCATAAAAGCATCTGTTTGAGTCCCTGCTTTTAGTTCTTTGGGGTATATATCTACAAATGAATTTTTAGATTAGATGGTGTTTCACCTTTTTTTTTTATTTATCATTTTATTAGGGACTCATACAACTCTTATCACAGTCCATACATACATTAATTGTGTAAAGCACATTTGTACATTCATTGCCCTCATCATTCTCAAAACATTTCCTCTCCACTGGTATTTCACCTTTTAAAGGAATCCCCAAACTGCTTTGCACAGCGGCTGCATCATTTTAATTTATACCAGCAATGGAAAGGTGTTCAAATTTCTATATTCTTGCTAGCTCTTTTTATTTTCTATTTGGATTTTATAATGGCCAAGCTCAGGGGTGTAAAGATTTGGTTTTCATTTCCCTCATGACTAATAACCTGAAGCATCGTTTCATATGTTTATTGGTTCTATGAGGGGGTAACCCTCCAAATGATTTTTTTTTTCAAAGCCATATATTAAATTTTTTTACACAACAACCTTACATTTACTTCAAAGTACTCTCCATTACATCTGGCAAATCTGCGATTCCATTCTTGGAAACACTTTCTAAACTCATCTGTTTGGATGGCCAAAAGCACCTCCCTTATTTTTGTCTTCACCTCTTTTATGTCGTCATCTCCTTTTATGTACCTCTTCATTCATGGAAATAAAAAGTTGCATGGAGCGAGGTCAGGTCAGTAAGGTGTGTGGGGCAGGAGAGGCATGCTGGTGTTTTGCCCAAAACTGGCTCACTGAGATGGTTGCTTGAGCAGGTGCCTTGTCACGGTGGCAAAATCAGTCCCCAATCTGCCACAATTCAGGCCTTTTTTGTCACACATGTGACAAACCTCTGAATAGGAAGTTTGATTAACAGTCTGACCTGGTGGAATGAGCTCCAAATGCACTACGAGTCGCATTTTTGCCCTCCCGGAAGTTGATTAACATTCAGAATAAGGCTTGTCATCAATTGACATTTCACCTTTTTGAAATAAGAAAACCGCTCGCACACTTGAGTTTTTCCCATAACGCTGCCCTTGTAAGTTGTGTTAAACATCACAACAGTTTCTACGGCATTTTTCTTGAGCAGGAAACAAAATTTCACAGCCAAATACTGCTCTCTTCATTTAGCCATCACAAAAAAACGAGGTTCAAGCAGAACTGCTTTTACAAAGATATTCAACGTGACCAAAGAGAAGCTTCCCAGGCAACAACACTGGCTGCACTAACTCAGAGCGAATTGCTTGATGCTCGCCTAGTGGGAAAAATATGTACTACGAAAGCTCCACTCTGCCCAGTGCAATTCTGTTTGTTTGTTTGTTTGTTTGTTTGTTTTGGTGGGGGTGGGGTAGGGGGCAGCCCCTCATATGTGTCTCTCTTCCTGGAGAAGTATCTGTCTACTCAGGTCCTTTGCCCATACTGTAATAATGATCGTTTATTTTTGTTGCTGTTGTTGAGTGCCTCACAGTCTGTTCTAATGCATGGTAACCTGATGTGTGCCTCTATTATTGTGGTGGTTGTTAGGTGCTCCCTGACTCTTAGGGATAGTAGAATGAAACACCACCAGGTCTTCCACCATCCTTACAATTTGTCTAACGTTTGAATTCGCTGTTGTAGCCACTTTGTCAGTCCATCTCCTTGAGGGTCTTCCTTTTTTTCCCTGCCTGTCTAATTTACCAAGCATGGAGACATTTTTCAGGGGACTGGTCTCTCCTGACAACATGTGCAAAGTACTTCAGATGAAGTCTTGCTAGCCTTTCTTCTAAGGAACATTCTGGCTGTACTACTTCAAACACAGATTTGTTTGTTCTTTTGGCAGTTTGTGGTACATTCAATATTCTTGGCTGGGATCCTACCACCTACATTTCTATTCATAATTGAGTGCCTAACCATTTGTGCCACACAGGGACTGTGGAGTTGTAGCTCTTTTTATGTTCTGGGTGCTAGACATTTATTAGAGATCTGACATATAAATATTTTCACCTCATTTGCAGCTATCTTTTCACTGTCTTATGTCATTTGATATGTACACAAGTTTTAAATTTTTGATGAAGTCTAATAGTTAATGAAAAAAATGGAATGAGAAGACGATGGAATTTTTCCACGAACTGTTTTTTTCCAGTTTTATTGGATATAATTCATATATAATACAATTCAATAGTTCATTCACATCAAGAAGAGTTGTACAATTATCACTCATATGTGTATAAGAAAGAACTTCATAGACAAGAGCAATTGAATATTGAGAAAACATCCCAGTCTAGTCCAGATCAAGTCCGTCATTCTGATATTAGCCCATAGGTCCAATACCAATCTATAAAGTCCTCTTCAGACTCACGCAACACATGCAATGACGCCGAATGCAGGAAGATCACAGACCAGTGGGTCAGAAGTCTTGCAGATCTGGTGGCGTTGTGAGCATCTCAGCACTGCTAGGGGTCTCCATGTGGCTCCTCCAGCTCAGGGCACTAGCATAGTTCCATGTGTCTTGTCAGATGCAGTCTCACAGGGAATGAGCCTGTGGCCTGCCTCCACTGAGCTATTAATCTCCATAGCACCTCCAAATGAGGTCATTAAGCTGTGACCTGATTGACTGGCTAAACTACCCTTTCACTCTTAATCCTCTCAAATTGAAAACAGATTATGTAACAACCACAACTTGTGTCCTAGCGTCATCTATTTACGAACATGTGCCATGTGAACTTGAATGTGTATTAAAAAAAAGAGTGTGTGTTTTGGGGGTTTTTTTGC